GCTTGATATTATGGATAAATTTCCTCTCATCTGAGAATGTATCAGGTTAGCACTAACCCAGAATACCCACTAGCCTTGAGAGAGATAATTAAAATGACTGATATGTGTAGTGTGTTACAATGGGATAATATTAATATGGTATATTGGGCTAGGATAAACAAAGGGTGATTTTACCTACTTAGGAAATGGGTTTTAGGTGGAAACTTAGGAATTCTGTTTTTGAAGTTCCAGGTGAAAAAAGGGAGGAAATAGCATAGCATGGTAAATTTCTGAGACTGGTTATTTGATGTCCCATGAGACATGTAGAGAAGTCTTGAGAGACAAGATTCAAGATTTAAGTAAAGGTCAAGTCAAAGAGAGCTTTGGACTTGATTTTTGGGTCAGTAAACATGTATTTAAAAATCTCAAATTCAGAATATTCCAGTTGGATTATAAGGCTATCCAGGTGTAAAGTCTGAATCAGAGCTGGGAATGTGAGACTTCTTATCTTACAGACTTTAGGAAGGTAGTAGAATGAAAGCTCTCCAACAAAGCAATAAAAAAGTAAAAGTGTGTTGTGTGACACTTTTCCTGGGGGAGATGCAACACAAATGTCTATTTGCCCCACATAGGGAACTGATGGTAGATCAAAATGATTCCACTGAAGTCCAACTTGAACCAGTGAGTTTATTGGGGTTACCTAAAGAATACAGGTAACAAGTTTGAATAGGGATGACTCAAAGGCAGCTTCATGACCAAAAGCCCACCCCTAGTATGGGTGATAGAATCATGACTCATGAAAGCTGGAACCCTGGAGCTTTCTGCACAATTTGCAGGCAGCTCAAAGATCAAAGCTCTCTTCCAGGCAGCTCAGCTGGTGAATCTCCTCAGCAGTCCCTACTGCCTGTATAACCTCGGAAGGGAGGGACTTCTTGAGACTTAAGAGTTGTTTACTTTCTGAGTCTTAAGGACCTCTCTTTAGAACTTTCTGGGTCTTAAGGGGTTTCCCTCCAGCAAGAATGTTTCAACTTTGAGGATATTGCTACACAACAAAAAGGCAAAACATTTGAATGGCACTTGATGAAAGATGATATGCAAATAATCAGTAAACATAAAAGAATATAGCTTACCAGCCAGTGTGGTGGTACATGCCTTAATTGATAGCACTTGAGAGACTAAACCTGGAGCAAAGTGAATTACAGGCCAGCCTGGGCTACAAAACAAGACATTTTCTTCAAACAAGCAAACAGTAGAGTTTACCTTCATTGAGAGTCTCACAGTTCAAGAGAAGGTTCATTATAGTCTATTAAAACATAGCATTCGGGGGCTGGAGAGATTGTTCAGCAGTTAAGAACACTGTTCTTGCAGAAGACCTGGGTTCGAATCCCAGCACCCACATGGCAGCTAACAACTGTCTGTAACTCCAGTACCAGGGGATCCAGCATTGCACAACACAGGTGTACTTACCTACATGCAGGCAATACACACATACACATAAAATAAAAATAAAATAAAATATTAAAAAACAACAAAATATAGCATTAGAAAAATAAGTCTCCTGTTTATTGGAACAACTGTATATGTCTTTCTTTTCTAGAAATGGCAAAAAGTCTTTTGACTTCATCTCTGTCTACAAGGACAAAACTGTTACAAACAGGAGTGTCACTTTATAATACTTCTCATGGCTTCCATGAGGAAGAAGTAAAAAAGCTACTGGAGCAGTTCCCAGGGGGATCCATTGACCTTCAGAAGAAGCAGAATGGCATCGGCATTCTCACTCTCAACAACCCCAGTAAACTGAATGCCTTCTCAGGTACGGGGTCTTGCTTCTCCAGGTGAATGACACCCAGTCCTAGCTTGCTAGTGATCACATTTTTTCTGCTCTTGCCCTGGTGCAGGAATTCTTGAAAGGGCCTAGAAAGATGGCTCAAGTGGTTAAGAGCACTGGATGTGTCTGAGGTTCTCAGCATCCACATGGTGCCTAACAACCATCTGTAACTCCATTTCCAGGGGTCCTGGTGCCCTCTTTTGGCCTCTGTGGGTACTGCACACCCAGCTCATAAATGCAGGCTCAGCACTCATAAGATAAAAATTAGTAAAAACTACACTTTTAAATTTCTCTTATTTTTTTTTTTATTAGACATAGTCTTACTATGTAGCACTGGTTGGCCTGGAACTTGCTATGTAGACCAGGCTGGCCTCAAACTCAAAGTGATCCACCTACCTCTGCCTCCTGAGTGCTAAGATTAAAGGCCTGTGCCTTTATTATTGATATACCCCATAAAATTTAAAATAAATAATGATCAGATCAGAGCAATTAGTATTTCTCTATGTTGAGAATCTTCAAGCTTCTGTCTTCCAGTTAATGAGAAATACATAATATATTATTATGAACTATGTTCACCTATTCCTCTATAAAGCACCAAAATTTATTTCTGCAGTGCAAACACTGTATTTGTCTACCTGTTGACTCTTCCATCTCTTAGATTCTGGTGACTACCTTCTGTTTGCTAGTCAAGACTCTTAATATAGAATTTTATATTTGTATAATCATACTAAGCAAAATAATATTCAGAAAGAAAAAGATTGTGGATTCTTGCTTTTTAAAAAAGGCATGAAAGTAAAAGTTGGATTATATAGGAAGAGAAGTGGGGCTGGTAAGAGATGGGAGATATGAAAAGAAAGTAATGAAATGACTGATGAAAGGGCATCATATACATATATGAAAATGTCACAACAGAAGCTACTATTTTGTGTAGTTGATATACACTCATAAAAGAAGGAAAAAGAGACATGTTGAACTAAGACATGCAGTCATTTGTAATTTTTGCTGAAGTTTAAATTTGAGCCATGCCACCAAGTGTTATACAAGCTCTAGTGAATAGCCTTCCTAACTACCCACTATTTCAAGATGATTTTGGCATTCTCTGCCTCTCCATTATGTACTTCTTGAGGGAAGGTAAACCATATTCTGTAATAGCATTTGGAATGTTAGTCTCATAAATAGCTTAATAAATTTTATGTGTTTACATATAATTCTGCATAGAGGCTCAATTCAATGAACTTTGTACATTTCCAGTACTGGCTCTTTATATATAAGACAACTTTTCTTTCTGCTTACAGAATTCAGAAAGCCTTCTTTATATCAGTGCTGGCCAGTACAAATGTGATCCACATGTAATTTTAAATATTCTAGCAGTCATCATTTAGAAAGCAAAAATAAATTGGTAAAATTAATTTTAAGAAGATAATTATTTTATTTCCTTTTCCCAAAACATTTTAAACAAATTACTGATATAAGAAATTACATGTGAGATATTTCCCTTTTATTTTCATATTAAGTCTTTTAAATCTGGTATTACATTTAGTGCACATCTCAGACCATACACATTTCAAGTATTCAAAATTTACATGTGATTAATGGCTATTTTATTAGACAGTGTATCTTGATATTTTCAATTATGTTAGGGAATAAAATCCAATTTTAGTGTTAGCTGAGGAAAAATAGAGTGGAAAAGGTAAGACTGCTCTAGAGAGTTCAGTTACATCAGTAGTTTTGCTACTGAATAGTTAAAAATGATCTTTTATCTAAGGAGGAACAATATTTGTGTGATACATGTTTAAAACTAATAATAGCAGGTGTTTTGATTTGAGTAATGGTGTTTTGTTATCTTGGGTGTGCATAGAACCACTGAGTCCTCACCGACCTTACTTAAAAATCTAAGCAGGGGCTGGAGAGAGGACTCAGTGGTTAAACGCACTGACTGCTCTTGCAGAATACTTGGGTTTTGAATCCCAGCACCCGCATGGAAGATAACACCTGTCCATAATTCTAGTTCTAGGGTATCTGATGCCCTCTTCTGTCCTCCATGGGCACTGCACGACACGGGTGCCCTTGCTTACATGCAGGTGTAACACTCATACATTAAAAAAAAAAAAAAAAAAAATCATCCAACCAGATACTGTAAGGTCCTTACTGTGAAAGACCCCCAATTCTTAAGGTTTACTTTTCAAGTCAAAAGAGTTGAAAATTGACTATTAGTTGTAACTGGAGAGATGACTCAGCAGTTAAGAGCACTGACTGATCTTGCAGAGAATCTGGGTTTGGTTCCTGGCGCCCACCTGGCAGCCAACAAACTTCAGTAACTCCAGTTCCAGGGGATCAGATGCCCACTTCTGGCCCCCACAGGCATTGCATGCGTGTGGTGCACTTACATACATCCAAGCAAAACACTCATACAAATAGAAATAATCATAAAAATACAAATACTCATAAAAATAGAAATTTTTAAAATTTAATAAAAAATTGATGATTACTATAATTTTAAAAAAATATTCAAGGCCACTTAAATATCATCACCCATGACTGACAGTTCATGTTTGTAAGTTTATTCTTATTGTAAATGTAGATCTTTGATTTCTCCTAAACTGTAAATAATTTGATAGTAATAAATAATATATATTTTTCAAGCATTTAGGATATTCTTGAGAATTTACATTTTAAGTAGGTCATACTTAGAATAACTCATTAGTGATTTGTGAGTTCATAACATTTATTGAACATTTATTGTAGAACCACCTCACAGCTGGTTACTTAAAAAAAAAAAGCAAAGTAATAGTTGCTGATCTAGTGGGATTTATAGTCCAAAATTAAGCCTACTTATTTTAGTGAGATCCATATAGTAAGGCTTAGAAACATAATAAGGATTCTCTGCCAGTTTTCACCTTCAGTTATATTTACATTGACTTCTAAAATGTTGCCTAGGTAGAGGAAAATAAAATCAGTTATGTTAGAAATACTGTAACCTTGGAAGATCACCATTGATAAGCATTTCTTTCAGTTCCTTAGGATGGCTTAGAGTGACAGTCCCTGCTGTTTCTGATTTTAAATTTATTGTTAAAGGAAGCTTGCATCAAAGTTTGTAATCTTATCAAGGTAACAGTTTAATAGGTGAATCGTAGACCTGAGAGCTGCTAGACCTATGGCATACTTCCACAGTATGCCTCAGGCATGTCAGTTTGTCAAACACAGAATATAAATATATTTCTTACCTCTTTCCTGAGCTAATATTCTGATGTGAAAAGGGTGAGAATCACACTTTGTTCTGTTTATTATGTATGAAGTGTGTCATAATATCTTACAGCTGTGTTATACCCAAAAAGTTTGTTGATTGAGACAGTTAACATGTATTTGCTATGAAGTTTTTATCTTTATCCTAAGAAGTGAGTTTTCCTTATCATTATATCTCATACTTTACACACTGATATTTCTACTTCTGGGACTTTTATGGTGTATTTTTTCTACCTAAACATACATTTGTCTGATTTCTTAAGACACATAAAGACAGATAATGAATTTAAAAATTTAAAGCAGAGACTGTCCTATATACCTTGTCTGTATACATCATTGGATCATCACAATAGGCATTTGGTAGCTAGTAAATATTTGTAAAATGTGTGTTCTAGTAGTTTTGCTTGGTATGCTGGCATAATGGCATTTCCGAATTACCTTTATGTCTGCAGTCTCTTTCATGTGTTATGTTTTCAGTCTCCCCTGTTTTGTAGGTGTCATGATGCTACAACTTTTGGAAAAAGTTATTGAATTGGAAAATTGGACAGAAGGGAAAGGTATCATTGTCCATGGAGCAAAAAATACTTTTTGTTCAGGATCTGATCTGAATGCTGTGAAATCTCTCTCCACTCCAGAGGCAAGTATATGGGTTATGCATTAGATGTGACCTGCTGTCAGACACAGCTTGAATACTCATATTTTACACACACACATACACACACACACACACACACACACGCACACACACGGTTGTTATCACTCTTATTCTTTAACAGCCAATAAAGGATAGAGAGTTTTTGTTTTGGCTTGGTTTGGCTTGATTTATTTGTTGTGTTGGGGGGGATTATAAAGATTTATAAGAGAAATAATATACGGGAAACAAATGAATTTGTGAAGGTTTTACCAGCCAGGTATCTAAAAGGCACTCTGGTTAACACACTGAAATTACTCATTGTTCTAGTATGCGTTCTCCATTGCTGTGACAAAACACTCTGACCAATACCAACTTGGGGAGGAAACGGTTTATTTGACTTATGTCTCCTGGGTCACAGCTCATCACTGAAGGAGCCCAAGGTAGGAACTCAGGGTGGGAACCTGGAGGCAGGAGCTGAAGCACAGGCCTTGGAGGAACGCTGCTTACTGACTTGCTCCCCTGGCCCATGTTCAGCCTGCTTTCTTATATAATACAGAACAACCTGCCCAGGGGTGGCACCACCCACAGTAGGCTGGGCCCTCCTACATCATTCAACAATCAATAAAATGCCCCATAGACATGGCCATAGGTCAGTTCAATGGAGACAGTTCCCTAATTGAGACTCCCTCTACCCAGGTGTGTCAAATTGACAGCTAAAGCTGTCCACCATACTCATCTTTGTGGTCTAATCTCATTTGTGTTGGTGATTTTAGAACAGAGTCTCTTGCTTGAAGTATTGCTTCTGCTACCTTCCTCCCCTCTGGCAGTGTCCCTCCTTCTCCCCACCTCCTATCTCTTTCTTTCCCTTTTGATTGAATTTTTTTTTTTTTGTCTTTTTGAGACAGGGTCTCCTTGTAGCCCCAGCTGTCCTGGAGCTCACTATGTAGACCAGGCTGGCCTTGAACTCACAGAGATCTGTCTACCTCTGCCTCTGGGATTAAAGGTGTGCGCCACCACGCCCGATTTTGTGAAATAAATTTTAAATTTTAGAATCATTTTAGGTTTACAAAAAGCTGCTCACATAGTCCCTGCATGTGTACCCTATAACCTTGGTTTTAGTATATACTTTGGTACATAGATTTGTCATAATTGAAAAACCAACATTTACTCTTAACGAAGCTCTATAATTTCATATATAGGATATTAGTGTTGAAACTATTGAAGCACAGAATAGAATAGTGATTACCAGGGACTAATGATGAGAAATTTAGTTATAGCTATTTCTATAGATCAGTTCTACAGCATAGTGTCTATAATGAGCAATGCTATAGTATGTTCTTAAAATTTTCTAAGATGGGGCCTGGAGAGATGGCTCAGCAGTTAAGAGCACCAGCTGCTGTTGCAGGGGACCCGGGTTCTATTCCCAGTACCTATGTGGCAGCTAACAACTATCTGTAACTCCAGTTCTAGGGGATCCAACACCCTCTATGACTTCTGCAGGCATTGCACAACACAGGTGCTCTTATATACATTCAGGCAATATACTCGTACACATAACATAAAAATAATAAAATATTAACATTTTTTTCTAAGATGGAAACTCATGTTGATTGTTCCTAACACACACACACACACACACACACACACACAATAAAGGGGATGGGAGAAAGCTTTAGGAAATGGTAGTATTTCTCCAGCCTTAATGGATGCTGATAGTTCAGTGGTTGATTATCTGCAAACTCATTAAGTTGTATATATTAAATATGTATGGTTTTTACTTGTTGGTCATACCTACATAGAGTGGTTTAGAAGAGGAGAGAAAATAGAAACTTCATACTTTATTGGCAGTTTGGTAGTTTTGCTCTTAGTCCTTTTTCTGCTTTGTAATCCTGTGTTGGAATCGTTGCAATGCCTTAGATTTCTCTTCTCTGAAAGTTCCTCATACCCTCCTTGTCAGTCATGATCTTGTCAGTTTGACAAGTGTTGGTCAGGTATTTTGATGACTGTCCATCCACTGGAAATTATCTGGTGTTTTCTCCCATTAGACTGGGGTTATGAGTTAGAGAAAGATCAGAAGGTGCCATTTTCACACATTATGCTAAGGGAACATCTTATCAAGATGACGTATCACTGTGAATATTAAATTTGGTCACCTTTCAGAAGTGGTGTTTGCCTCATTTCTCCAAAGTTATTTTCTGTATTCTGTTCTTTGGAAAAAAACAAAAGAAATTCACTTAGTCCACCATCAAGATAATCAGAACAAGTCCCATGTCCAGGAGTGGGGTACATATTCTATATCTATTATTTAAAAACCATTCAGTCATGTATGTATATTCCTGTGAATTCATAGATATTTGTTTGTAAAAGTTATTAAATATTATTTTTATTTTCTGCATATGAGTGAGTGTATGTATTTAAGTGTACCCATGTAGTAAAATGCCCGTGGAGGTCAAAAGAGGGTGTTAGATCCCCTGTAACTAGAGTTACAGATGGTTGTTAGCCATTATGTGGGTGCTAGGAACCAACCTTGGTCCTTCTGCAAAAGCAGCCAGTACCATTAACTGCTAAGCCAACTCTCCAGCCCCATGGATATTTATTTGTATACATCACTCACTTTGTTTATTACATTGTTCCAGCTTTGGCCCCAGGCAGCTCTTTCAGGTTAACTCCTGTCTCCCTTTGACATGCCATCACCCTTTTGGTTTTTTTGAGTGCTACCTTAATTTCTGGCCTATAAGATATTGCAGCTAATCTTGTATTTTACCTGCCCCAATCTTAAAATCACAGATTTCATCAAAGAGTTCTGGTTATGGAGAATGATAGAGAATAGTGTTAGAAACAAAGATTTTTCAGGCCTAGTGACGTAAACATAGAATCCCAGTGACTCATAAGCAGAGACAAGAGTAAATTGAGTTCAAGATCTGTCTGAGCTATAGAGCAAGTTAATGGCCAGTCCAGGCAATTTAATGTGAATCTGTCTCAAAAGTAAGAAAAAAGTGGTAGAGATATAATTTAGAGGTAGAGTATTTGTCTGTGATGTGTGAGGCCCTAGGCTAATAGCCTAGTGCTATTAAAAAGAAAAAGTGAATGAGGTAGGGAGAAAGAACGAAACAGTAAATTAAGTGTTGTGAATTTTTTTTTCCAAGTCTATTGATACAGCACATGGGGTTAGGGAAACCATAACAATAATAGGATAAAGGAAGCTATGAATCTGGGTTTTGAGTTTAGCCATAGATCTGCCACTTACCTAAATGAGAAAGTCAAAGCCATAGTAAAATTTATCCCACAGATTTTGGAAGATTTAGGTAGCCACTTTCTGCTATGTTGGGTTGTAAGCCAGAAGTCTATTATAAAATTTTAAAACAGGTAACATAAATTGGTAATACTAAGTAATACTAGGATGACATTGGATTCAGTATCATCACCTTTCCTCTAGAAGCCATGTGAAATAATTACTCCTTTGATGACTGGTTGTTTTGTTTTGCTTTTAAAAATTAGGGCACAGCCCAGGCATGGTGGCACACCCCTTTAGTCCCAGCACTTGGGAGGCAGAGGCAGGCAGATCTTTGTGAGTTCTAGGCCAGCCTGGTCTACATAGTGAGTTCCAGGACAGCTGGGGCTACAAGGAGACCCTGTCTCAAAAAGACAAAAAAAAAAAAAAAAAATTACAGCACAATAGTATGAATGGCTGAAAAAAGAAAGATTAACAGTGACCAAAGGTTATTAAAACCAGCAAGACAGCTCAGCGGTTAAGAACACTGGCTGTTCTTGCAGAAGATTCGGGTTCGAATCCCAGAACCCACATGGCAGCTAACAACTGTCCGCAACTCCAGTCCCAGGGGGATCTGACAGCCTCTTCTGACCTCCGCTGGCATTGCATGACACAGGTGCACTTACCTACATGCAGGCAATACACGCATACACATTTAAAAAAAAAAAAAAACAGCAAGAATTTAAACTTTTATGTGGAAGCACCTTAGCATTCACCTAATGAACTGGCATGTCATAAACTTTAACAAATATCAACAATTTAAAAATTAGCTTCTGGATTGCTCTGGTAGAGCAGGAATCCGAATCATCTTCTGTTATCAGTTTACCAAGAAACCTGTTTTCTTAAAATTAGCCCATATCTCATAGGTCAAAAGAAAAGAGAAAAGACAAATGAAAAGAAGGAAAGAAAAACAGAAAATATAGAAAGGAAAAGGAAAGTAGTTTGTTGCCATTTAGTTGTAGATATGGCAAGGCTTTACATCCTAAAAGTTCCACAGCCTCCCTCCAAACAGCACCACCAATTGTAGACACAGTGTCCAAATACATGAGCCTGAGGGACAGTTCACATTCAAACCACTACATTGTCTCTGACGTGATTCATGATTGGTGTCACCACCACTAGACATAAATTTGCAATATGTTGGAATGGCTAGAACACTAACCAGGTATTTGAAGTGGAGCTTGTGTCCCAAGGACACAATGGATTCTAACCATAGCTAATAATTAGCTGTGCAGAAGCTTGCAAGTTATTTGATTCTGTAGGTAGATGGATGGATGGATTGGTAGATGATAGATAAAAATTACTTTGTTCATAAAATATACTATAAAGACAGAATCAAATAATAGATTATTCTGGGCTTACTATGAGTTGGGTAGGAAAACTCAAATAAGATGAATACTTATTTTATTTTGTTGTCTTCTCGTTCAAAGGTTGTCTCTGTCTCTTTAGAGCATATGGCCAGGATATTTTACTTATACATATAAAAGCTAGAAGAATAAACAATTTCATATATACATTTATGTGTGTGTATTGATATAAGTGATGTAGGAGAATATTGAGAGGGTTTATATCTAGACTTCAAGTAGAAGATGCTTTTTTTTTTCCTGATACCAACATTCTCCAACTAACCTGTTCTCAGGAGTGCCTGCATTAAATCTTTTGATTGCCAACTGAGAACTAGATGTGTCCATCACATGTTAACATATTTTTCTGCCAGTCTTATCAAGGAAAT